GTCCTGTTAGTCATGGACGACCTTCATATTGTTCACCACTGTGACCTCTTCAATGGCCTTTATCTTGTCGGGATTGATCTCAATCCCCCTGTTTGAAACCATGAAGCCTAGGAATTTGCCCGAACCTACTCCAAAGGCGCACTTCTCGGGGTTGAGCTTTATGTTGTAGCTTCTGAGGATGTCGAAAGTTTCCTGCAAATGGGTCAAATGGTCGTCTGCACAGGGACTTGACTAGCATATCATCAATATACACCTTCATCAATTTACCTATTTAACGCTCGAACATTTTATTAATTAGGCGTTGGTACATTACCCTTACGTTTTTTAGCACAAAGGGCATTACGTTGTAGTTGTATGTACCGTATTTTGTGATGAATGAGGTTTTTTCCCTGTCCTCGGGGTTCATCTGAATTTGATAATACCCCGAGTTGGCATCGAGAAAGGTGAGGGTCTCGTGGCTGGCCGTAGCTTCAATCAGACGGTCGATATTAGGCAACGGGAAGGAATCTTTAGGGCACACCTTATTCAAGTCTTTATAATCTACGCACATTCTTAGCTTGTTTCCCTTGTTGGGAACTACTACTACGTTGGCCACCCATTTTGGGGTACTTTACTTCTCTAATGGATCCGATTTTAAGAAGTTTCGTTACCTCTTCTTTGATGAAGGCATGTTTTACCTCGGACTGTGGTCTTCTCGTCTGCTTTATGGGTTTAAATTTGGGATCGACGCTCAGCCGGTGGGAGGTTATTTTCGGCAGGATTCCTGCCATATCTAGGTGGGACCAGACAAAACATTCGATATTGTTACTATGAAATTGAATGAACCATGTTGTGAGTTCGGGGGTCAACCCCGTTCCCAAGTATACCTTGCGATCTGGGAGGTGCTCGATTTAAATTGTATGCTCCAGCTCTTCGACTATCGATTTAGTCGCATACGATTCTTCAGGTGCGACGAAGGTTCGGGGATCGAAGAAATCTTCCTCGCCGTCCTTAGGGGCCTGTGTGTTTCTATCCTCGTCCGAGATCAGGCATGTGGGGATCGGCGCCTCGTGGTGGACTGCGAATATTTCTTTCGCTGCCCGGTGTTCTCCATGTATGGTCGTGATGTCGTCCCTCGTGGGAATCTTTATCACCTGATGCAAGGTTGAGGATACTGCCCTCATGCTGTGTATCCAAGGCCTGCCGAGTAACGCATTGTGCCTCATGTCGCCGTCGATGACTTGGAACTCAGTGTTCTGAATCACGCCGGACGTGTCAATCAGGAGGGTGTCTCTCATTTCGTTACTTCGCTGGTCATATTGAAGCCGTGGAGGATTCGAGCGACGGGAACAACTCGATTGAGCAGCCCCAGCTTTTCTACTACCTCTAACCTAATTATGTTGGCCGAGCTGCCCGGATCCACTAGCACGCGCTTTATCCTAGTTTTGTTTAAAAGAAGTGAGATCACCAGCGCGTTGTTGTGCGGTTCTATCATGGCCTCGAGGTCCTCCTTGCTGACAATGAGGGTTTCTTCAGGCGCGTGGTTTCGGGTCGGTCTCTATTCTGTAGTGGACGTTCTTATTAGTTTTAACACGGGTCCTTGGGAAATGTCGGTTCCTCCAATAATCATGTGGATGCCATGTTGGAGAGCCCCCCCTTCCACTCGGGTTGAGTTCGGTGGTGTGCCGACATCTGGAGTAGTCGCGTCCTCCTTTCTGCTATTTTCGAGGTTTTGGTTCTCGACTCTATTTACTAAGACAGACATTTTGATCTGAAATCAAAAGATCTTGGAAAAGAAAAAGCGTGAAAGATAACCTTCGTTGCACAACGAAACCAGCAAGAAAATAATCACTATTATTTTTAGCCCCACGGTGGGCGCCAAACTGTTTACCATGAAAATGGTAATAACAATTAAATTTGTTAGTGGGACTCTAAAAATACGTGATCAATTTTAATGCTAGTTGTTAGAGTATTTGATGCTAGGTGTACGTAGATGAGAGATGAAATGCGAGCTAAAATAGAGTTATAATGGAACCGAGAGTTTAGTTACTCTGGCCTTGAACTGACCGATAGGGGGCCTCAAGGTCGATACCTGGGCTCGAGCTCGAGCTATGGGGGTAACCAGAAAGGGAATAACAGTTGGGATATAATTAAAGAAGCCTCTTTAATATCAATATCAAGCAATAAATGAAGAACAAGTATGAAAGCAATAAATGGAAGGTAGTCTCGAGCATGTGAATTAGAGAGAAAAGAGAGAGCAAGAGAATTGTTATTGATTGTTATAGTACAACGTGCATTAATTGTAAAAGCATAGAGATGGGACGGCTAGACGCGATGCATCGATACAGGCTCTGGGTAGGCCAGCTCCGTCAGACTTAGACGTGTGCCTTGCAGATTCACCATTTTTCTCTAGCCTCGATCTTCGTCTTCTTTGAGTCGGGCCTAGACGAGCCCCGAGGGACGGAACTCGGTCGTAACTCCGCGTCCTCAGGGTCTCGAGATATTCTTCTAAGGTGACTTGATAGCAAGAAATTAGGCCCTCTGATTTTGCCGCATACATTTTCCATTAATGAAATGAGGCAATTATTGACACTGAAATTCTCCAAATCAATGTGTCACTATGCCTACCTTGGGCACATCGAGGCTCCCAAATTAGGACGCGAATTTACATTCCTGCAATATGTGTTTAAATACTGCAAAAATTTTCAGAATACTTACCGACTTGTTTACTTTTTGTTTTTCTTTATTTTTGTTACTCCCATCCCATATGGTTGGTTCGCACATACTGGCATCATCAGCATATCACACAAGATCTAGAAGCCCTTGATGTGCTGGAGAATTCCGGCACATTTAATACAAATTTCTTAGATTTTAGCTTGTTTTAAATGCAATTATCTTGTATACTTATGTAATTTTAATGTTTTTGCAGTGTATTAGGTTTAAGGACTCAAGAGCATGAAAATGAAATAACAAGCCAGAAAAAGACAAGAAAAGAGCAAAATGCATCGCAAATGTGGAAATGCAGACCGCAAATCCAACATGCAAGTCGCATAATGCACAAGGAGATCGCAAACCACAACAGTTAGATGGCCAAAGCCCAGTGCAAGAAATGCGGTCCAATCTGCGACCGCGTAACGTGTTTGCAATGCGACATGAAGGATACTGAAGGTAGAAAATGCGACGCGAAATACGGTCGCATATCTGCAATGCGGACCGCAAAACGTGAATGTGATGAAGGCCTGGGAACTAGGGTTTGAAAATGCGATGGACATGTCAAGAATGCGAACCGCATGTCTGTTATGCAACAGATATGCGGTCGCATATTTAACCGAAAAGGGTATTTTTGTCTGATTTTTATCTCCAATTTTGACCCACTATAAATAGATTTATTGGGGTTGTGGGGGAATCTTGTCTGATTTTGGGGCTACAATAGAAAGCCTTAATATTCCTCTCTCTTGGAAGCTTTTGAAGGAAGAATCTTGCACTTTGTAAGCTTTATGGTATTAAATATTCTCATCCTTCTGTATTTTAGTATGTGTAGCTAACATTAAATACTAAGGTTGGGACCCTAAATGGGTGTTATGTTAATGGGTCTTTACCGTTGAATATATATATATATATATATTATATATATAATATATATATATATAATGGGTTTGGTTGATAATTTATTTAGAGACTTCATTTTATTGTTGGTGGTTGCAAACATTAACAAGTGCCATTAAGTTCTTACTTTGCTTAGGAAAGTGGATTAGAATTTGGTAGAAGTAAATATCAAAGACTCAAGGATTTAAACCTTGTTTAATAGAATCGCTTAGGAATAAGTGGATTTTGTTTGACATATATTGATTGTTCTTAATTGCAACTCTTTATATTTGGAAAAATCATAAAGAGGAAATACTACCCAACTATTGGAAAATATTGGGTAGTCATTTAGAAAGCATTTGCATATCAATAGAACCTTCCATTAGAAATATATCATATTAACACCGATAGCATTACACTTCATTGAAGGGGACACAACCTTGGTTTCTTTAATCAAATTAATTACATTCTCAATATCACAATTGGTTATTTCTTCAAATCACAATCATACCATACTCTTGTTACAATTAACCGGATAGAATCACGACTTAAGTCAAGTGACACACTAATTGAGTAACCTTTTCACACCTATTCCCTGTGGGATTCGATACCAACCTTGTTGGGTTATTATATTTGACACCGACCGCCTTACACCATTTCATTAAAGTGTAATTTGAGCGTATCAAATTTTGGCACAGTTACCGGGGAATACGGTTTTGAAATTACAAATTATTGTGTGCTTTACTTTACGTCTTATTCTATTCCATCACACTTTGCTTGTTTTGCTTGGTGTTGATCGGAAACATGGCTCAATATAAAGAACAAATGGAGGCGGAAATGGAAGAAAATCGTTTTGCGGACATAGAGAAGTACATTGAGGATACAAATGCTATTGTACCTCCTGTCGTTGGCGCCGCAACTTTCAAGGTGGAACATGGTTTAATCCTTATACTCAAAGCGGAGGGCTTTTTCAGGAATTCTACTGATGATGATCCGACACAACATCTTAGAAACTTCTTGGGTGTGTGCGCGATGCACAAGCAAAATAGTGTCACTGCTGATGCCCTAAGGTTGAGGTGCTTCAAGTACTCACTAGCTGGGGACGCAAGGAAATGGCTTCAAAATCTGCCACCAAACTCCATTCATTCTTGGCCCGAACTTGTCTGGGCGTTCTTAGCTAAATGGTTCCCGCAAAGTAAGAAATCTGAGCTCCGGGATAAAATCTTCTTTTTCAAGAAAGTACCGGGAGAACATCTACATGAGGAAGGGATCGGTTCAAATTATATTTGGCGAGGTATCCCAATCATGGTTTTCCAAATTCCATCTTGTTGGAAAAATTCTACATGGGTATAGATAAACCAATCTAAGCCAAGAATGCCGCTGACGGATCTTTTATGGACAAAACATTCACAAGGGTCACACAGATCCTTGAAAAAATGGCACAACATAATCAAGCTTGGCAGTCCGAAGACAGGACAAGTGGAATTGCATATGGTTCTCCCTCCTTGACCAACCTAATTAAGGAGAATCAAGAGAGAGATCAAGTAATCGTAGGACTTGCCTCAAATGTCAATGTGTTGACAAAAATGTTCGCGGAAAGTCAAACAAAAAAGGTGAATATGGTGGAGGATGTGCAACCTATATCAAATGAAGATTTAGAGGGAGCAAACTACATCAACAACTCTATAGGCGGGTATCAAAGACAACAATACCAAGGTCAAGGAAAACAAAATCAATGGAGGCCAAACCCGCAAGGGCAAGGCAACCAACAATGGCGAAATGACCAAGGTAGCTCAAATCAAGGAAATTGGAATAACAACAACAACTTCTCAAATCGGAGTTCAAATCCATATGTTCCTCCAAAGGGTCAATGTTCAAATAAAGGTTCCTCAAGTGATTCCAAGTTGGAATGCATGCTTGAACGGGTATTGCAAAATCAAGAGAAGTCCGACACTTCTATGAGGAACATGACCGAGCTTGTTGTCTCTCATACCGAATCCATTCAAAAATTGGATATGCAAATGAGAGACCTCTCTAGGGAACAAAATCCAAAGCAAAAGGGAACACTCCCTAGTGACACAATTGTGAACCCAAGGGGTAGTGGGAGTGGCCCAAGTTATCATATCATGGCAATTACTACTCGGAGTGGGAAGTTACTACAAGGAGAGAGTGAACAAGTGGTTGAAGTAGAAGAGTCCGAACAAGGGGTTGAGGTTGAAGAGCCAAGTGTTGTCGAAGTTGAAAAGATTCCGGAAGAGTTGCAAGTGCAAAAAGAGAACCGGGAAGAGGTAAAGGAAAAGGTAAAAGAGACACCAAAAAATCTTCCACCTATTCCTAGACCTCCTCCTCCCTTCCCTCAAAGACTTGCTAGGAAGGTTGATGATAGCAAACTCGAAAAGTTCTATGACATTCTCAAGCAATTATCGGTGAATATTCCATTTGTAGAAGCATTTCAAGAGATGCCGCGATTTGCTAAATATTTGAAAGATTTGATCACAATGAAGAGAACCACCAAGAATGAAGTGGTGAACGTGACTCACCAGGTTAGTTCCATCATTGCAACATCCACCGTACAAAAGAAAGAATATCCGGGAGCTTTCACCATTCCACGTACTATTGGGGCACGTTATTTTGCAAGAGCCCTTTGTGATAATGGGGCTAACATCAACTTAATGCCTCTTGCCATCTATAAGGAAGTGGGGTTAGGTATGCCAAGACCCACAAGTATGATATTTCAAATGGCCGATCGTTCCATAAAAAAACTGGTGGGATCGTTTATTTACCCGCTGATTTCGTAATCCTTGATTGTGCGGTTGACAAAGAGATCCCTATCATTTTGGGGAGACAATTCCTTGCCACGAGAAGAGCACTAATGGATTCGGAACTGAATGATATAAAATTCCGTGTGAATGATGAAGAGTTTACAATCCAAGCAAGCAACGGTATGAAACTACCTCATGAGTATGAAAGCATCTGGGTGATCGATGTTGTTGATAAATTAGGGGATGCGGTTGAAATGAAAATGGAAGAAAAATGCCTCGACGAGGCATTGGCGGCTATTTTGGTGAACTTTGATGGTGAAGATATGGAAGGGTATATGGAATCGGTAAATGCATTGGAGGGGCTTGGGACTTACATGTATGCTCCGGCGAAGCTCTCTCTCGACTTGGAGAATAAAGTCAGTCCTCCCGCAAAGCCTTCTATTATCGAGCCACCGCAACTGGAGCTCAAACCACTTCCACCACACTTGAGGTATAAGTTTCTTGGCTCAAATAATGCTTTACCCGTAATTGTTTCTTCTTTGTTGAATGATGTGAAGGTAGAATAATTGTTGGATGTCCTGAAGAAACATAGGCAAGATATTGGATGGACAATTGCAGTCATCCAGGGGATCNNCCCCCCCCCCGGGGATTTTGCAAACAAAAAATCCAATTGGAGAATGATACTAAACCAAGTGTGGAACACCAACGACGGTTGAACCTGTCCATGCAAGAGGTGGTAAAGAAAGAAATCATCATGTGGTTAGATGCCGGGGTAGTCTACCCCATTGCCGATAGTTCTTGGGTGAGCCCGGTGCAATGTGTGGCCAAAAAGGGAGGCATGACCTTAATTGAAAATGATAAAAATGAGCTCATCCCAACAAGAACAGTGACCGGTTGGAGGGTGTGTATGGATTATCGGAAGCTCAACTGTGCCACATGTAAGGACCATTTCCCTATTGCTTACTTGATTGATATTCCGTCTACAACCAAATTAACATAGCATTGGAGGACCAAGAGAAGACAACATTCACTTGTCCTTATTGAACTTATGCCTTTAGCCGGATGCCGTTTGGTTTGTGCAACGCTTCGGCGACTTTCCAAAGATGCATGATGTCCATTTTCTCCGACATGGCTGAGGACTTTCTAGAGGTTTTCATGGACGATTTTTTGGTAGTAGGCGACTCTTTTGAGCATTGTCTTAACAATCTTGGACAAGTTCTCAAGAGATGTGAAGAGACCAACCTTGTGCTCAACAGGGAGAAATGCCTTTTCACGGTGGATGAAGGCATTGTATTGGGGCATGAAATTTCTAAACATGGCATAGAGGTTGACCGGGCAAAGATCAAGATCATTTCCAAGCTTCCTCCACCTACCTCAGTTAAGGGTGTCCGAAGTTTCTTGGGGCATGCCAGATTTTATTGGCGTTTCATCAAGGATTCTTCAAAGATTGCAAATCCTATGTGCAAACTCCTTGAGAAAGATGCAAAATTTGTGTTTGACAAGAAATGCCTCAAAGCCTTTGAGGAATTGAAGCAAAAGCTCACCACGACACCTATTATTGTCACACCCGATTGGTCTCTTCTTTTCGAGCTCATGTGTGATGCCAGTGGTGTAGCTATTGGAGCAATGCTTGGACAACGTCACAACAAGGTTCTTTACCCGGTCTATTATGCAAGCAAGACACTCAATGGAGCGCAAATCAATTATATGGTGACTGAGCAAGAACGTCTTGCCATTTTCTATGCCTTTGAGAAATTCCAGTCTTACTTGTTGGGATCAAAGGTAATAAGGTACACAGACCATGCTGCTCTTCGCTATCTCATGGAAAAGAAGGATGCAAAGCCTAGGTTGATTCGGTGGGTCTTGTTGTTGCATGAATTTGACTTCGAGGTCAAGGATCGCAAAGGAACGCAAAATCAAGTGGCGGATCATTTATCAAGGCTTGAAGAGGCAGGGAGGCCAAAGGGAGATCTTGAAATCAACAATGCATTCCCGGATGAACAAATATTGGCACTATCTAGCACTTTTGCTCCTTGGTATGCCGATATTGCTAACTACTTTGTTAGTGACCATATTCCGGAGGGATTGGAATCCTATCAAAAGAAGAAGTTTTTGAGAGACTGTAGGCAATACTATTGGGAAGAACCATTCTTGTTCCGGGTTTGTGCTAACAACATCATCAGAAGGTGTGTTCCAGAAGACGAAATTATGCCAATTCTAAAGGCATGCCACGGCTCACCAGTAGGGGTCACCATGGGGGAAATCGAACGGCAGCTAAGGTGCTTGAATGTGGTTATTATTGGCTGTCGATCTATCATGATTCCAATCAAATGGTCAAGGCTTTTGACCAATGCCAAAGGCAAGGATCAATCTCCAAGAGGCATGAAATGCCAATGCACTTTGTGATGGAGATAGCAATCTTCGACGTGTGGGGGATTGATTTTATGGGTCCCTTTGTGAGCTATTGTGGGATTAAATATATCTTGGTGGCTGTGGACTATGTGTCCAAATGGGTTGAAGCTATTGCCTTACCAAACAATGAGGCAAGGAGTGTGACTACATTCTTAAATAAAAACATGTTCACTCGGTATGGCACTCCTAGAGCCATTCTTAGTGATGGTGGGTCTCATTTTTGTAACAAGGCTTTCACGGGGCTACTAGTGAAATATGGCGTCAAGCATATGGTGGCCACACCTTATCATCCCCAATCAAGTGGCCAAGTTGAAATTTCCAAGCGGGAGATAAAGAGCATTCTAGCAAAGACCATCAATGCAAACGGGACCGATTGGTCAAGGAAGATGGATGACGCATTGTGGCATACCGCACGGTATACAAAACTCCTATTTTCACTTCTCCTTATCGGTTAGTCTTCGAAAAAGCTAGTCATCTACCCGTGGAACTGGAACACAAAGCCATGTGGGCTCTAAAGAGGTTGAACTTGGACTGGGCTGAAGCTGCAAATTTGAGGTTAACACAACTCAATGAAATGGAGGAATTCCATTTCCATGCATATGAAAGTGCAGTTGTGTATAAAGAAAGGATAAAGTTCATCCACGACAAAAAGATCTTGAAGAGGATGTTCAAGTCGGGTGACTTGGTTTTTCTCTTTAACTCAAGGCTCAAATTGTTTCCGGGCAAGTTCAAATCGAAATGGTCCGGTCCGTTCTAGGTGGTCAATGTCTCTCCTTTTGGTGTTGTAGAATTAGAATCGGAGGATGGGCTCCGAACCTTCAAAGTGAACGGTCAGCTAGTCAAGCACTACTTGGGCACAAATGGAGAAAAACATTTGGTGGAGAAGTTGGATCTCAAAGATGGTCCATGCCCCACCAATGAGTGAATCCTAAGGAACACCAAGTTCATCGTGCCGCGACGTTAAATCAAGCGCTTCATGGGAGGCAACCCATGTGTGGTAACACCCTTTTTGGCCTTTAAATTTTTAATTTTTGTTAGATAGATTTAATTGAGCAATTTAAAGTGTGGTTTAGAGGGTAGGGGATTCAAAAGATCAAAACATGGGGTAAGATTGAATGAGAAAGGGAAGAAAAATCACCTTGGGAAGTTTGCTACACATATGCGGTCGCATTTTTACTATGTGGACCGCATTTTGGTCGCAAACCCAAACAGTGTGTTTGGCTAAAATTGGTGATAAAAATGCGAGAAGGTGGTGAACTTTGCGGACCGCATTTCCACTATGTGATCGCACAGTGCACCGTAGTTTTGGCCCTCCAGCAATTAACTTGAATCCACCGCATAACACTTATACGGTCGCATAGTGTGTTATGCGGCGACTTATCCACTGCAAATAGCTTAGGTACATCCCTCGCATCTCTTCATTCATTAAAAAGAAAAAGAATTTTTTTATTATCAGAAACAAAACAAAACATAAAAAAAGAGAAAAGGAACGGAGAAGACAAAACTACCAGTGCATCACGTACGCCAAGCAATATCCGTGAACTAATCTTCCAAGTGTGCTCATAAACCCGTCACTGGTATGTTTTCCTTGTCCCAATTCCATCTTTGCAAGCTTTAGTTTTATATTTGTTCTTGTTCGTGTTTCTCCTGTTGTTTCTGTTTTTCTTTTTTTCTTCTTGTTTGTGTTTCGTAGTTAGATTTATGTTCATAATGTGATTTTATGTAGTGTGTTTTGGGGTGCTGGGTCGTAGAAATTAGGTCCTCCATTGTTGAGGGTTAAGTTCAATCGTTGGATGCGATGGATTTTGCGGCTCGCATAATCAAAATGCGGTCCGCATTTCTGCCGCATAAGTAAACCCTAGCTGGCTGAAGAAGATGACAAAATGCGGGGACTTTGCGTTCGCATAATTAATATGCGGACCGCAAAGTCACTGCATACTGAGACAGTAGACCCAGTTTTATAACATGCTAATTGCGGCCACTTTGCGATCACAAATCCATCTTTGCGATGGATTTTGCGATCGCATTTTGTGATTTTGTTTTCTGAGCAATCAAGTATGCAATGGTTATGCAAACCGCATAATAGTTATGCGATTGCATAACCCATCGCATACTTAGATCATTTCACCAGTCTGAAAGTTTGTGACACATTTACGGTCCGCATAGTGGTTATGTGATCGCATAACCTGTCACAGACTTGGAATTTTTTTTTTGTTTTTCTGTTTTCTTTTCATTTTTGCCTACCATGTTTCTCACATTTCACCTCTGTGCAGATATGGATCCCAAGAAACATACAGCCTCTGCTCAAAAAAGAGCCTCCTCCAGTCATCACACATCACAAGCCAAACGTTCACGAACGCACCCTAATGTTACATGTAAGGCCCCGGAAAAAAAATTCGCTAAGTAATCTAGGATTTCGTGATGCCACGTAGGCTAATTATAATATTTTATGTGCTATTAACATGGTAGGTATAAATTGGATTTGCTAAACTGGTGTATAAGCCTTATTATTTGTAATGTGTGGTCTAATGGAAGGCCTAAGTCCAAGTCAAATTGGAAAAATTTCATAATAGGCAAAAATTCCAAATGAATTCGCACAAGTCCCAAATTTGGACGATCATATCTAAACATGTATAAGGTTTAATGTGATGAATAACCTATCAAATGAAAGGTCTTTGAGTCTAGATTCTAGCACTTCAAACCGTTCGTCATTTAGACATTCCTACACAAATTTATAATCAAATTACCAATGGCTGGAAATATGCGATCGCAAAAACCATTATGCGGTCCGCATAACTGATCTGCGATCACAAATCTAGTCGCAAATTGGAACAGTGTTACCCAGTTTTGGGCATCGAGTTTTGCGACGCTTTTGCGGCCAGCATGCCCATTATGCGGTACATTATGCGACCGCAGACCCGAATTCGGAGCGTTAATCTTCCTATTTTTATGACCCGACCCCATTTTAATATATAGGCTTTGGGGTTCATTTCGGGGTGATTTCATGAGCATTCTAGAGGGAGGTGAGAGCATTTTAGAGAGAGAAGGAGGAATCAAACATTCAAATCATCCAATCTTGCATCAATCTTCAAGAATGAAATAACCCAATCACAAGTTCCTCATCTAAGAGGTAAGGTTCTATACATTAGACTTT